GTGGTCCAGTCCGAACCAGGAGCATTTCACCCCTGATAGAAATGGTCTTCTCAGGGACACTTACGTGCCATGACCATAACTCTCTCCAAGCAGATGGTGTGGCTCCTTTTAGAGAAGTTTATGCTGAGATCCTCTGCAAAGAATTGAACACTCCAACAAGCAAATCATAGCAACAATAGGGGACTATTCTAATGAACTCTACAGGGTTCCAATTTCGTTGTATACATGATGCATAATGACAATAAAGGCTATTATTAATATTATTACTATTCTACAGTCTGGTGTTCTACAGGTTACTGAACTTCACTTCTAACCAACATGACTGGAGGATAATAGACTGGGGGGGTTTCCTAGCAAAGATGAGAAGAGAAACTTCATTCTCCTTAGCCAAGTCTGTGGCTTGATGCTATTAAATTAGTTCAACTTTCAGAAAACTGGAATAATCTCATTAGAAAGACGGGGTGGATTAATCTCATTGTAGGGTTAATGAATATATTGAAGCGGTGGACTCAGCTACTGAACAAGGCAAAACAGGGCAGAATTCCCAATATGTATATACCAAATAAATAAGCACAAGATAAACTACAATGGACACATTCAAGGAAATCATGTCCAGGCATGAAACTGATAATATGTAAGCATTTAATACGCAACCCATCATTTGAAGTACCCTTGATATTACTAGAATGTGGCAATTAGGTTTGTACCTGTCTTTTGAATAACATAAATAGGTAGGTAAGTTCTCACTATAAGCTCCCAAAGCAGTTTGAATTATAATGACAACAATTGTGTCATAATGGTGGTGATAGGAACAAGCTCTTGCCGTAAGGTTTACAACATAAGAATACAAGGAACAGAGAATGGATGGAAGAGGTAGAAAAGAGGAATTGGTTTGACAATATTGGAGGAAAACTGAGCGATAAACAAGAGATTTTAGACCAAGCTGAATATTAACTGATCTTCCCTTACTGAAAGACATGTCTCGTCAAAGAAGTGTTTCTCAACCTCTGCATCTCTGAGATGCTCTCAGAATTCTGGGAGTTGAAGTCCACATGTCAAAGAGATGCTGAAGACGAGAAACACTTTAATTACCCAGTAGACTATCAGGGGTAGGTTCTAAATTTTTTTACTACCGGTTCTGTGGGTGTGGCTTATTTTGTGGGCATGGTTTGATAGTCATGTGACAAACAATTCTTTAGGATTTAGCAGAGGTACAGGTCTACCAGGCTTTTAGCTGCTTGCAGAGCCGTACCGGTCTGCCCATTTCTTTTTGGAGCGTTCCAGTCTACCTATTTGTTTTTGGAGGCACCTGTCTAACCATTTGTTTTTTGAGTGCACTGGTCTACCACCACACTGCCTTTTACCGCTGATCAGCTGTGGGGCGGCCCTTTGAAGCCCCGTGGCAAGAGTTTAAACAGTTTTTTTCCTTCTAGCCGATCAGCTGGGACTCGGGAGGCAGCAAATAGATTGGGGGCTGGGCCAGGCAGAGGTGGTATTTACCGGTTCTCCGAACTACTCAAAATTTCCACTACCGGTTCGCAAGAACCGGGAAGAACCGGTAGCAACCCACCACTGAACTATATGCTCTTGGCCAAAGGGTGAGATCCTAGGCCAGTGATGGCTAACCTTTTTGCCATCGCGTGCCAGGAGAGGGGTGGGGTGGGGGAGGGTTGCACGCGCACGTGCCCACGTGCATGCGTGCGCAACCCCCTCCCCCCCGCTCCTGGCACATGATGGCCTGGTAGGCCCGTTTTTCTTTCTTACCTGGTTCCAGATCCTCTCTGTGTATCTGGGAAGGACGAAAACAGCCTTTCCCACTCCCTTGGAGGCCCTACAGAGGCTGAAAGGGCCCATTTCCCAACTCTCGGTGGGACAGGAAGTGACATTTTTTGCTGTCCCCAGCCTCCAGAACCTCTCTGGGAGTCTCTAGGAGCCTCTCTAGGAGTCTCTGGAGGCTGGGGATAGGAAAAAACATCACTTCCTGTCCCACCGGGAGTCGGGAAATGGGCCCTTTCAGCCTCTGTAGGGCCTCCAAGGGAGTGGGAAAGGCTGTTTTCGCCCTTCCCAGATACACAGAGAGGATCTGGAGCCAGGTAAGAAAGAAAAACGGGCCTTCCCCACCCCACCCCCAGACCCTCCAGAGGCAGGAAACAGCCTGTTTCCCTACTTCTGGTGGGCCCAGAAGGCCCGAAAATCAGCTGGCTGGCGCGCGCATGCACCCCAGAGCTGAGCTGGCATGCCCATTAATATGGCTCCGCATGCCACCTGTGGCACGTGTGCCATAGGTTCGCAATCACGGTCCTAGGCTGTGCTTTCATTCAGGCCTGTCCTTCTAAGTACTATTTTTTTTCTTGTAGGAAGAACCCTACAGTTGCTCCTTCTGTGGCAGATTGAGGGGGAAAGAATGTCACATGTAAATGACTAACCCTGTGATTGATTGATGGGCCCGGGTATAGCAAGGAAATGGCATTGGTCGCATTGGTCGATGATCTCTGGAGGGCTCGGAACAGGGGGTGCTCCTCTGTCCTGGTCCTGTTAGATCTCTCAGCAGCTTTTGATACCATCGACCATGGTATCATGCTGCACCGGTTGGAAGAGTTAGGGGTGGGAGGCACTGTGTTGCAGTGGTTCTCCTCCTTTCTCTCTGACCGGTCGCAGTCTGTGTTGACAGGGGGACAGAGGTTGACCCCGAGGCCCCTCATATGTGGGGTGCCGCAAGGGTCATTCCTCTCGCCCCTCCTGTTCAACATTTATGTGAAGCCGCTGGGCGAGATCATCCGTGGTTTCAGGGTGAAGTACCACCAGTACGCTGATGACAACCAGCTGTACATCTCCACCCCAGACCACCCCAACGATGCCCTTGAAGTGATGTTCCGGTGCCTGGAGGCTGTGCGGATCTGGATGGGGAGGAATAGGCTCAGGGTCAACCCATCCAAGGCCGAGTGGCTGTGGTTTCTGACGTCCCGATATAGTCAGTTGGTGCCATCACTGACTATTGGGGGCGAATCACTGGCCCCCACGGAGAGGGCGCACAACTTGGGCGTCCTCCTGGATTCATGGCTGTCTTTAGAAGAGCACTTGACGGCTGTGACCAGGAGGATTTTTCATCAGGTTCGCCTGATTCGCCAGTTGCGTCCCTTTCTGGATCGGGACTCCTTACGCATGGTCACTCGTGCCCTCGTCACCTCCCGCCTGGACTATTGTAACGCTCTCTACATGGGGCTCCCCTTGAGGAGCACCCGGAGGCTCCAACTGGCGCAGAGTGCGGCCGCGCGGGTGGTAATGGGAGTGACATGGCGTTCCCATGTAACACCCCTCCTGCGCGAGCTGCACTGGCTCCCGGTGGTCTTCTGGGTGCGCTTCAAGGTTTTGGTTATCACCTTTAAAGTGCTCCATGGCTCAGGACCTGGGTACTTGCAGGACCGCCTACTACCACCAATAGCCTCCCACTGGCCGGTACGCTCTCATAGAGAGGGGCTCCTCCGGGTGCCGTCGGCCAAACAATGTCGACTGGTGGCCTCCAGGGGGAGAGCCTTCTCTGTGGGGGCACCTACTATCTGGAACGAGCTCCCCCCGGAAATACGGAGGATCCCGGATCTGCGCACCTTCCGCCGCGCTCTAAAGACCTTTTTATTTCACCAGGCGGGCCTGGCCTAACTTTCTCCCTCTTTTTAAACAATTTTTAATATTTTTTAATATTTTTAATATTCAAAGTTTAAATTTGTTTTAAATTGATTGGGGTTTTAATCTGTCTGGGCCAAACTATTTAATTTGATTTTATTTCTGCTTTTTAAATTTTGTATGTATGTATTTTATTGTTGGCTGTTCACCGCCCTGAGTCCTTCGGGAGTAGGGCGGTATATAAATCAAATAAAAGTAAAGTAAAAGTAAAGTATATATCAAAAGGATGTAAATATTAATTCCCTTTTCCAATAACCACTCCCTCATAACTCCTCCTTACCTTGACTCCGCCTCCAATATTAGTCTTGGATTGACCCACACAGGGACTTGCATTTAAACAGAGCAGAGCCTACATATAATGTTTTCATCTGGATATCTGGAAGGCTTTCAGCCCCTAAGCGATTCTATATATTATAGAAGAAATTATGGGAGAATTTTGGTTTGTACCATTTCTGGTTCCAGAAGAGGTTTAATAATACTCTTGCAAGCATTATCATGCATAAACAAGGAGAAAGGTTTCCATTTTCCCCTCTCCCATGTGTGACAATGTACTTATATTACTTGCAGAGAAGGTGTTTTAAAAAAATAAAATAATAACTGGTATGTAAGCAAGACCAAATGAAGAATAGAAAATAGACATGGCAAAGCAAAATATTACAGTACATTAAAACAAAAAAATAAAAAACAGCAGGCAGAGCAAATAACCTGGCAATGACTAAGAGCAGGAAAGCTGAAGAAAGAGACAGAGTGGCTAATTTTGACTGTACAAGATCAAGCCTTAAGAACAAATGCATAGAAAACCAGAATTGAGAAGACAGCAAGAGACAGCAAATGCTGCTTCTGCAAAGAAGCTGAAGAAATAATGGACCACTATAAGCAAAGTTAGCTACTGCAAGAAGTTTGCACAGACTGACTACAAAGAATGGCATGACAAAATAGCAACAATACTTGCAAGAAATACTACTTAGCTGCAAGCAAGAAGTGGCAGGACCATAAAATAGAGAAAGTAATAGAACAGGAAGAAGCTAAATATTCTGGGACATTAGAATTCAAACAGACAAGCACCTGCCACATAACACCCCAGACTTAGTAACTGTCAATAAGACAAAAAAAAGTTGGAATAGTGGACACTGAAGACAGCAGAATAGAAGAGAAAGAACTGAAAAAACATCACAAAATACAGACCAGCAAATTGAAGCAGAATGACTGTGGCAAAAGGAGGCAAAGATAGTACCAATAGTAATAAGCTTTTTGGGTACAATCACAAAACAACTGGAGCACCATTGGAACACCATCAGCACTGACAAAATCACCATCGGTCAATTGCAAAAGGCAGCTTTACTTGGAACAGCTTACATCCTGCGACAATACCTTTAACACCATCAAACAACAACATTTGCCTATCTCAGGTCCTTGGGGAGATCTTGATAGGTGAATGAAAATGTCAAGTCCAGTCTAAACATCTGGCTGACTGTATGACCAACCGCAATAATTTATTAAATTTGTATGAAACACAGGGAAAATACAATTAAATAATATTCACACAGAATGTTCCCTGCCTCCCAAAAAGGAGAAGACAAAACTCAAAAACAGATCACCAAGGTAACAAACAGTTACTCTAGTTACATTTGGAATAGACTGATGGGGTCTGGCTCTCTTTTTCTTTCTTTTTTCTCTTTTTAATAATAATAAAATAATCTACAATGGCTAGGGTTGGAGGCTCAATGGACAGGTAGGAGAAGTCTTGGTCTGTAAAAAAATATTTTTTGAGCATTGAGCCACCTATTTTTGGGGGGCTGCTTTAGCCACCCTTTTTCATGCCAAGGTTCAGAAGAGAGAAGTAACCTCAGCTAATCAAGTCCTAAAAAGGTAAGCCGATCAACTCAACTTGGTATAGGTTGATGGCGTTTGACTTCCCTCCCAACCTAAGTGTTTGGATTTCCAGATTTGAACTTGGATCTGCTTAACTATGCTTTGTGGAGGTAATTTATGCAACCCAGAGTTTCCAGTGGTAAAAAAATCTATTATTTGGTTCATTCCAGTGGTGGGATTCAGCCAGTTTGCACATATTTGGGAGAACCGGTTGTTAACTTTCTTAGCAGTTCAGAGAACCAGTTGTTGGAAGAAATCTCCTTTTGTTTTTTTCTACTTTACAGGGCTAATCCTGTAAGGCAGGAAGGAAACATTGTGGTGTTATTTCTAGCCTAATCTTTATTGCCCCACTTACAAAAACTGCCTCTCTGGTTAACCCTTATTACATTGTAACAGCTAAGACAAAACACCCATCGACGTGAGCGATGGTGAGTTGGCCATGCCCACACGGTCACATGACCACTGAGCCACGCCTACCCAGCTGGTCATTAGGGCAGAGAACCGGTTGTTAAATTATTTGAATCTCACCACTGGTTCATTCCAAGTAATGTTTGCCCATTCTCCAGCTTTTCTTATCTTCAAAGATATTAAGGCAGCATGAGGATTCTTTTTTAACTTGAAATAGTTGTTTGAAATCAGCTAAAGGTGGCTGTCCATGACTTCAAAAAAGACATGAAAACCTTAAAATAGCAAAGTGTTACAATATTTTTATAAATATTTCTAGAAGTTGTCCTATAGAAGCAAATCATGAAAAGATCCAGTATCTTAAGACAAGCTGTATACTTGCTAATATATGCAAATGAGTGAATGTGCATTAAATGGATGTGAATAAGAGCTGGATTTATATGCTATGCAAAGCCAGAATGAGAATATGCAAAGCTAGAATAAGCCAAACTCAGCCATTGTATATTAAAATCTTAAAATTTATTGTATGTAGCTATATCAGTTTGGCTTATTCAAAAACATGATTACAAACTGTGGCTTACAGCAAATCTGTGAAACCTACAGCAACTGAAAGCACTGAAGAAAGCAGAACATTAGTGTGAAAGTCACATCACAAATGGTTTGGAGTTGCACAGACAGCCTGCTGAAGTCCTTGGTACTCTCTGAATTTAGTTATTTGCTTGCAAATGATGAAGCTTCTTGGTAACGTTATCAATGCTAGTACGTATGGGGTTTGCTCTCTATTTATATGCAGTAGTTTGCTCTGTCAGTATTGATGGAAGTATGGTTTTTCTCCTTGGTAGTTCCTTGATTAGGGTATTGTTTTCTGTTTGTTTGTCTGGTGTTAATCCCTGCTTATCTGGGTACAAGCTTCTGGAGAGAATGTGTTCTGTTCTTTTTTATTTTCTTCTTAGCTTTGTGTTGTCTCTTTTGAATGGCATATAAATAAGGTTTATTTCTATTGAATGGCATAAGATTTATTTCTATGTGTTTGCTGATGGCAAATTTGTCCGAATGCCAAACTTCCAGGAATTCCCTAGAGGTTTTGGATTTGGCTCAGACAACCTTCTATGCAAAAGGCCCCAAATTGATCACCCAAGCACCAAACAGGGTTGAGAAAAAACCCTATCACTGCTTTCTATAAAAGTATAAAATACCATAGGAAACAGTGTTAGTCTCTGACCTTAGGGTTGTTTTTTTTCTTTCCTTTCTATTCTGGCTCTTCACTTCTATGCTGGAGTTGAAGCATAGGGAATGAGAACCATGCTTTCCCCAACACATAATTATCTAGTTTCACATAACTTGGGCTACTCTGGGCATATAAATGATCAGGCACATAAACAAGTGGGATTAAGAGTTACATCTAACCTGGATAATCTTTTTTATTCAATATATTAAATATATATATATTTATATATATTAATAATTGGAAAAGTCACATACTGGAAATTGGAAAGCAGGGATAGACAAATATAAATGTCAAAAATGGAGGACTTTACAATACAAAGTTATTTACATAGAAAGACAGAAGGTGTCCTGCAGGTGTAGAGCGATACACAACTATTGGTGGCTCAAGACAAAGAGCCTTCCTTTCCTCTGTATTTACAAGCCAACCCATCGTTCTTCTTATATACATCTTTTACAAAGAAATTACTCAACAGAGCAAAACGGCCACTGTCTAAGCGGAAGGCGGGAGGGATATATGCTTATTTACGGCAAAACTCTCCCTGAACTCTACCCCCCACCCCCAGTTGCACCAAGGACAGGATGCAAGCAGTTTCTAGGCCGAGGGGTTGGAAAACTTCACTTGCCAAACCTGGGCATGTAATCCAGGGCTGATGACAAGGTCGAATAAGAGAAGGCAACCTTTTTTTTTAAAAAAAAAAATTCTAACTGGCCTTCAGCTGTCAAATCAATGTAAATGTTCCATTCGTGACACAGACAGTGGCTCCATGCAACACTATGGAAGAGGGGTGCTGGATTGCACGCAGAGCTGTTGGCAGGTCCTGGAACAAGGCAGCATTGTTTAGGGATTGTGCACGTAACCCGAGAAGGCACACAGGGCTTTCCCCACAAGTAAAAAAAAAAAAAAAAATACAAACTCCAAGTTGTCCCAAGTTCAGAGAGAATTACATGGCAATTCTTAATGTCCCGGTAACCTCTAAACGTCAAGGGAATGAGGGGGAAAGGGCGCGTACAGTGCTTATGGTTCTCAGTCTCCAACCATTGGACTAACATTTTAAAACACTCTTCTGGAAATGTCTCTGGAAATGTTCCTGCAAACTTCCCTCTGGATGGAAGGTGGCAGAACATTCTTTCTGCTAGTTTTTTCTCTCCCTCCGAGGAAGATAAACGGTGACGGCGGTGGTAGTAGCAGGAGGCAGGATGAGGAGAAACCCAAACAAAGCCACTCTCCCCCAAAGAAAGCACCATTTGGTTCATGGTGGTGGTGGCTTCCTTTCACCTTGTCCTCAGAACGGCAGCGTGTCCATGAATATTTTATCCACAATTGGAGGAGGGGGCACCAGGTCTTCTAGCTTCAAGTAGAAGATGCGCTGTAGGCCTTGAGTGCAAAGGGTGCGGAGCTCAGGAAGTTTGCCCAATAACTTTGAGAGGCAGTTGGGCTGTACCTGCTCACTGGTGATGGAAGTCACGTGGTCCTTAAGGCAACTGACAATGCGGTTCTGGAGGTCTTCAACCTTCTTTGGCTCCTTTAGTCCATGGCGATCTAGTTGAGACATCAGAGTTGGGTAAGGAACAGGGAAGAAGTTAGTCATTAAAGAAATCAACTCAAAGGAATCAAATCAAGTCTCCTTTCAAAGCGCTTAGATATATATTTTCTGGAATTTATTAACAAAGCTCTCTAACCCTGACTTTGTGCTGTGGAAACTAATGGGAAGCTGAGGTTTTTATAGAAACATTCTCAGTTATCTCTATGGAGATTCTCAGTCATCCAGGTCATGGTTGCTCCCAAAGTGCTTTTTCAGGAGGCAACTGGACTTTCTGTTTTTTCTTTGAAGACGTTTCACTTTCTCATCCAAGAAGCTTCTTGGAGCTCTGTGCTGAAGAAGCTTCTTGGATGAGAAGCAAAACGTCTTCAAAGAAAAATCAGAAAGTCCAGTTGCCTCCTGAGAAAAAAAAAACCTTTGGGAGTGTCGTTTTTATAAATCTATGTCTCACCAGCTACATCAGAACAATCCTGCTTTGTGTTTCACAAAAAATAAACACAGCAACAAGCAATGTGAAGCCTTCCTTTGGACATATCAGTTTCATCACATAAAGAGAAGTGTACAAAAGTTGGGATTCTATGAATCTTTTTTTCCAGGGATCTCCAGCAAATGCTGCCTGAACCACATGGTTTATGATGACTAAGTTGATTATTTTCGATCCCCCTAATACTAGATCCTATTCCAGGGACAGAATGTTTGGTCCTCCTAATGTTACTAACTGCAACTCCAGACAGTTATGATTAATGATGAGGGATGCTGAGGGTTGCTATTTAGCACCTAGACATCTATGTTACAGGCACCAGTTAAGGATATTTTCACATATCTGGAGCCTCCTTCAATAAGGCCTAACAATTCTGGCTCATTGTAGAGCTTAGAATCTCTCAATTTCCATATTCCTAACAAGCAGAGTTGTTCCTTGTGTGTCCAATCACACTTGGCCAAAAATTCTATTGATCTTCTTAGGATTCCCCTCACCCTCCATTCTATGCTATATTTCCTGCTTGCATGTCCCTCTGTCCGCTTGTCCGTATGTTCTTCTCAAGAGCCCTCCTGTCCACCTACCTGTAATTATGACAAGTGCTGCAAGACAGGAGAAGGAGGGCACATCAATGTTCATGCGGTGGAGGTTCTGGGAAAATTCTATGATGGAATCTATCCATTCTCCAAAACCCCGGACACACTGCATACGATGCAGCACAACGCCGTTACAGAAGATAAGTTTGCCTTCTTCTGGCTTGGATCTGCAAGAGACAAAACATTGTGTAGTCAGAGAAGAGGCTCAGAAACGGACACCTGTAATGAAATATGGTAGTAATGGCAGAACTATGCAGAAGATCCCAAATTCAACCTCTGGCTTCTCCAGGTAGGGCTAAAATCAACTCATCACCACAGACCCTATGGATTAAGGTGACATTTAAGTGCCCAGCATTTCCTTCCTTACCAATTGTGGCTGGGAAGGGGCGGCCCACTGAATCTAAGCAAGCATGGGTGGCTTGCGCTAGTTCTAATTATCACATTTAGAGTTGCTTGTGTTAATTACATTTTTATTTGCTGCTTCTCAGAATGAATTCAGGGCGGCAAAAATAGCTCTTGCATGCATCAACAGATATTCTATTTTCTTCTCTCAGCTACATTGCAAGGTGGCTAACCCAAGCAGGTGTCATGAAGCCAAGATAAACTTCACACCAAGCCGGTTTAAGCCTTGTCCCCTGGTCAAAGTCTGACATACTATCCAATTTATTATCTCAACATATTTCCTTTCTCATCTTGCAGGATTATACTTTGAATATTGCTCTTACTTTGATACCTGCAGCTCCTAATGTCTCTCTAATGTCATCTCTAATGTCCTATTGATTTATTTATCTGCACGCGCGCACACACACACTCTCTCTCTTTCTATTTTAAATATCCTGAAATGTTAATTATACAAGCATAGGATAAAAGCAACATCACTTTAAAAAAATCCTTTTAAAAATCCCTGCTCAGAAGTTCTCTATTTTACTGAACCAGGAGAGTGAGTTCATTCTTACTGGCATCATTGTCCATGGCAAATACCGTGGTAGTACAGTGGTCTAAGGCACCCTGTTATTAAGCTGGTTATTAAGACCAGCTGCCTGCAATTACTGCAGGTTCGAATGTCACCAAGCTCAAGGTTGACTAAGCCTTCCATTCTTTCTAAGGTAGGTAAATTGAGGACCCAGTTTGTGGAGGCAATAAGCTGACTTTGTATAAATATACAAAAGAATGAAGGCTATTGCTTAACGCATTGTAAGCCGCCCTGAGTCTCCGGAGAAGGGCGGCATATAAATCTAAATAAATAAATAAATAAATAAATACTCACTAGCTATGAGGAGTATAAATCAAATTAATGAAATAATTGGAGTGGGCAGCCATCATATATTTTAACGTTAGTAGTGGTAAATATCTATAGAGATTCACAGTCATCCAGGTCATGGTTGTCCCAAATGTGCTTTTTCAAGAGGCAACTGGACTTTCTGGTTTTTCTTTGAAGATGTTTCTCTTCTCATCCGAAAACCTGAAGAAGCTTCTTGGATGAGAAGCAAAACATCTTCAACAAAAAACCAGAAAGTCCAGTTGCCTCTTGAAAAAGCATCTTTGGGTTAGTAGTAGTAGTAGTAGTAATAGTGATAATGATGATCAATACTGAGGATGCAAAAGTCATAAGGCTATGGTAACTACAATTTCCCTGTTCTGATGTTCAGAGCACCTTCAAGCCACTAGTGCTGTTGGTTCCATCATTGCAGAGGTCAATGTCCATTTTCCTTGCCTACTAGGCTAGGCATTTGGAAAAAGGGTAGTTGAAATGCACCGGACGTCCTCCAGGTGGAACTTATCCACAAAAGGCATCCCAACCTCTTTTTGCTGTGCTCCTTTGATGTTAAGGTAACATTTTAAAACGATGCTGCACAAAGTTATAACTCAAAGCCACTGAATGGTTTCACGTGAACTGTTTCTAGATTGCAATGGCTAGGAACCAGATGGGGCTAACAGAATGATGCTTTGCTATTTAACTGAAAGGTGTAGCTATGACATGATACCTGTATGCTAGCCGTAGAATGAAGAGCTCCAAAAAAGCAGATTCCAAAAGCAGGTCCTGGTCTTCTTTTGGAAGCTCTAAGAAGCCCTGAATCTTCTCTGCCCATTTCCGGATCACGTCCATTGAGCCTGTTAATAGGTCATAGAACAGCTGCACATCCATGCAGTCCTCCTTCTCAAACTGATAAGAGACAGATTCCTGGAACTGACAACACAAGCAAACAAGTCTTTAGAAAAGAAGCAATGCATTTCTTGTGAGGTGGCAAGCAGTTATTTTCTTGAGGTCAGCAAGACACGTTCTAGAAGTTGCACTGAAAAGTTCCTTTATTCTCTAAGTGACCAAAGTACATCCTATAAAATCTCTTCCGGCACTCTTTGGTTCTGGCAGGGCTATCTAGCATAAAGAGCTTTGGCATTGTAGACTATGTGCTCTGGAGCAGGGGTGTCAAACTTGCGACGTCACGTTGCTTGACGTATTGTGATGTATTGTGACTATTTTCCCCTTCGCTAAACTGGGGGTGGGTGGGGGTGGGCCACATGTGACGCAACCGGCTGCCGGGCTGCGAGTTTGACACCCCTGTTCTAGAGGGTGGACAGGATAGGCCACATACAATTAAAAATGTCAGCTTATTTAATAAGTTGGAAAGTGAAGAGTTTGCTCCTAGATTATCTGTCAGGCTATTACAGGATGACTGTCAATAATCAAGTGTAGTAAAATATCTGCTTCATCGTTAGTCATTCCTAGCTGGGAATTCTGGGATCAATAATCCAAACATGTCATGCATGCTATACATAGGTTTCTTCTCTGCACCATCATCAGGGTCAGATATGAAAAATCAAACCTGTAAATGTTCATATATGGTAATTGAATCTATATCCCATGTTCTATTAAATGTTCACTTTTAACAATGTCAATTAAGACTTGACATTGCAAAGTTGAAAGCCCCTCGTATGAGGAGGACATTGGCAAAATTTCTATCTGTAGTTTTAGCCCAAAGGAATTGGCTGGTTCCTCCCACACAGCTTTGTTTTAATGTAATATATTCATATTTCTATATAAAAATTTCTCCTTAATTGCTGTATATGTCTTAATGCTTATTGGTTGGTGTTGAACTATAAATTAATAAATACTAATAATCTCAACTCTACTAAATGTCACCAAGTTGGGGATGTCCAATGTATACAAACAGCCCATAAAATGTAGCCACTGAACAATAACAATCTGTTCAAATAATAGTCCCCCAAAAATAAACTAAAGAAGTCATGGCTGTGAAGTGAAGTGACAGCTGCCACCTTGCAACCTTAGATGGTTTAAGTAAGTACTATGTGCATGATTTTTAAAACAAAAAGATACGGATTCTGAATTGTCCTGAAAACTTCTAGCTAAATGGTGACAGAGAATTTTAAAAAGTAAATAGATATAAATTACATGAATTCATACAGGACTGCCTATCACTGGCTAAAAGGACATATGAACAATACTGGATGAGAGACCTTGGCATGATCCCCCACCATTCTTCTGATGCCACTTACCAATTTAATTTGGCAGAGGCATTTCAGGCATAAATATTTCATGCGATATGTGCCTTTCTCTGAGCCACACATGGCCAGGCCAATAAACCAAGTGTGCATTTTATAAAAAAAAAAAGCAAAGTAAAAAGGGGGAAGAAATATCCACTGCCTTCTGTGTAAGAAGCAGTAAGTAAGTATTGTAAGCAGTAAGAAAGAAGTAAGAAGCTTGCAGATTCTTTATGATCAATTGATGGTAAGAGGACTGGGGTCCAAAACTATCGGCATATTTTCTCACTTCTCAGTTTCAGAAATTCAACCCCCCAAAAGGCTAGTGTCTAGGGCACAGAATCTCACATTTCCAAAGATGTAGAGAAATACCTTGGAATAGTCAAGTTTGGTAGCGCTGGGTACAGAATCTATGTGTGCTCTCACAAGAGAGGAGATGAGGCTGACCGGTGAAATATCTTGAGCTTGTTTGGGCTTGGAGGGCAGCCGACCACGTCGGCCTTTCAAGCTGTCTGTCCGCACCACTGAAACAAGAGGAAAAGGGAAGGGGGAACAGGAAGATGAGGAGAGGATTATAGGCAAGCAAGCGCTATCACCAGGAGAAGCCCACAATCTAGGAACAGCTGCTTCTGTTTTTAAAAACAATCAAGGACCACAAACTGAATCTCAGCCAGAGGCATATGATGTTAGGCTTCCGTGCAGCTTAGCCACCATTCAATGGGGTTTAGAGCTGTGCGGCGTTTTATACATTATGAGGGCTTTTTATTAAGGGCAGAATGCAGCATCCTCTTAAAAATTGGATTTGTTTGGGTTTGGCTTAGCATGTATCTGAATGCTGATATTCCGGCTTATCTTGCTTTATGGTTTCATTTGATGCATGATTTATTCAACAAATCGCACCACGGATTTAAGCAGGGCATGACCCTGGTCAAAGAATCTTAACATCCTAGGAACTACTCTAAGCAGCCAGAGGAAGTGGTCAGAAGCTCCAGCTTCCTTTCACTAAATTTTCAATCTTAGAAAAATCCATAGTGCAATGTGTGATGTTCACTTCCATTGATAGCCTCCTGTCACAAGGCTCTGAATAGCTCAATTCTAAATATGAAGGTATTAACGGCCAAAACAAGGTACTAACCCTCCTGGACTGAAACCCCCACCCTGATATTGTACATAATACAGTTCATGTTGTTTGGCTTAGCACAAAAAGCCAGGCAACTGCCCGTACTGATAAGTCATTGTTGAAGAGTGGATGTTTTCGACCATTTCAGCCCATCCTAAGGCTACAAAGAGGTTTTAAGCCCTCCTTTGCAATTACAGGTGCTGGATCAGGCAAATGAATTACATAACAAATCTTAAATCTCCTTCTCCTCCTCCTTCTTTTCAGCCAGTTCCTCTTGCAAATATTTAATTTGCTCTGGGAGCCAAATATTGAATTCCAGTCTCTTGCAGCCCTCTTTAACCTGGAACCTTACAGGCATGTGGAAGCTCAACTATTAAAATGCCTCCCCAACCTGGATTTCAGAGGACCTTAGGATGAAGAAGGCTAGTGAACAAGAAGGCACATGCCTCACCTTCTTTGACCATTCCCACAGCAAGGCACTTCTGGAACCGACAAAACTGGCACCGGTTTCTCCGCCGCTTGTCCACAGGGCAATCTTTGTTGGCTAAGCAGATATATTTGGCATTCTTCTGTACTGTGCGCTATGAGAGAGAACACAAGATTACACCGTTATAAATAAAGCGCATTTCAACCTTGGTGACAGAGAAACTAAGAAGTCTTAACCAGAGATAGATTTCTTGCAACATTTTTACAACCTTGGTTTCTCATGTCGTAAGTATGACCAAAATCTCATGTTCCATCTAAGTGCAATGCGCAGCTAGACCTGCATATCTCCATTTGCAGGTAATAATATTCTAATGTTGCCGAAATTGAAGCAAGAATTTCAACCCATCACCTCTGCTAAGAAAGAATGCAAAATGTTTCTGCTTTAACAGAACTTCCAGCAGCTCCAGCCTGCATTGGTAATTGTGAAGGTTTGTTAGAAACAGTGGTTCAACATCTGGAGGGTCCAACATTACCCACCTCTTTGCATTATTGGATTATGGTATCTACATACCGTAAATCACACACCCACACATGCACCCAGAGTCAAGAGAGGAAAGCATTTTATCTGAGGTGACAATTCTTTTCGTGATGTTACATGTATGACAGCCTTAGTGCACCTAGAATCACTGTACAGATGATTCAGGAATCCGAATAATACAAAATACTTTCAAGTATTTTGGAAAAGCAATGATACATCTGTAAAGTCCTCTTTCCATTCAATTGATAGAGATGCAAGGGAAGCCAAATTCTTCAGAAGACAGCTCTTTATTCATCCATAGGCATTAAACCTCTATCGTTTTCCCAGTTTCTAATTTTTTCCAAATTTGTTCATTCCACCTTGGCATTTTATTTTTTTTAAAATCTACGTGGAAATGTACACACATGTTTCTAAGCATTCCAGCATTCAAGTTTCTTTACTTTGGGGTTATTTATAAGTCTTGGCAGTAGGTCATTCAGAGAAGGATAACACGGTCATAGTGGGATCGTGGACATGTATCGATAATACAGTAAAATGTCACTTCCTTGGTCAGCAACATTTAACCAAAGGCAGGACAATCAAGGTAAGTGTTGGGAATGCAGAAATGCCTAGAAAGTTGGAGAGCCTGCATTTCTTCTTCCATTTCTTCTTTGTTTTTGAGACTGAGTGGGGGCTGTTCTTTCCTTGGAGAACTAATGTCTTTATGTGCATAGCATTCTCTCCTCCTATTTTTCCCCAACAACCACAATCTTGTGAGGTTGGTTGGGCTGAGAAAGAGGGACTGACTTCAAATTACCCAGTGAACTTGCATGGCTGAGGGTAGGTTAGGACCCGTGTCTCCCTGGTGCCAGCCCAACTATGCCCAAGACGCCTCAGAGGCTAGACCTGCTCCCACCGTTGCCTAGTAACGAAGAATAAAGAGACCTGTCTGGGCCTAGCGTTGGCTGGGAAACCCAGCCTAGAAACAGGCTGCAAGCAGAGATGGCAAGATCAAGGTATCAGAGAGATTTTTCCAGTGCCGAAGCCTCCACTGACAAGAAAAGACAAAGAACTCTAAACCTTCCTAAATTAAATATGGAAGAAACTTTAAAATGGGCACAAAGATTGCAATTATATCTGCAAGTTACAGATCAAGTGCAAGAGTAGGAAGACTGTACACATTGTGTAGATGGTGCACTGTACAGGAGAGAAAGCTTTTAAAAATCCTTCTATCTGTGCAGACCAAGCAAACAAAACATTAGCAATAGCTATGTTGTTGGTTTGAGCTCAACCAACAACATAACTACCAAGCCAAGCTACTAGTATTTGAAGACATTTCAATTAGCAATAGCTCTCACTGTATTTCAAATGGATTGGAAGCCTAGCAGAAGTCCTGTTTTTCAATAGATCCAGTTTTGGCAACTTCCTAACAGCCACTAGATGGCAACACAGAGAGATAGAACCTGTGTCTCTGCCACCATCTCTTGGTCACCTGAATGTTTGCAGCCAGTGTATGGAAGAATTATTCCTAAAGAAGCATGAAGATTAAGCTAATGTCATGATAAGAGAAAAATCTCAACATTGTAAATTTGGAACCACCACAGTGCTAATGCAACATTATATTGGAAAATACCATAAAATAAACAAGACCTCATTCTTAATTACTAGGCTATATAAAATGTTTAAGTGTATTTATGTTTTGTATATAAAATGTGGCAGTTATCTTACATTAAACATTGCAAAGTAAGCAAGAGATAGTTTACTTTTCATGTAAGTTAATATTCGTAAGTAAAACAGACGCAACGTTGGTTGACTTCATAATATTACATACTAGTAATATTAGTATTAAACTTAATAATGAAGTTTACTTTTGGCAGAGATTCTCATTTGTTCCTTTGCCCTAAGGGACCCACTAACCCTTGATCTGCTTCTAAGCAAAGCGATTTTTTCTAATGTAGTGTACTTGTGCAATTTCCTTATTATACAGAGTTGTATACATTTTGGTCCAAACTGCAAAATTAGAAAAGTCAGAATAAACTTTGTTTTGGCTTGATTTGGGATTGCATTGACTTGGGAATTACAAATTAAGTTCATATTCAAATGTGAAGCAAAGAAATCCGTCCCTTATGTATTTATCTGTTCTAGAGAAGTCATTCAATCAAAAAAAAAAAAGGCATATTCTGATTGCAAAGTCAATCACTTAGGTTAAGATTTGCATGCTGCAAAACAGTTGTGCAGCTGTTAGATCCCCCAAAACACAGCAACGAATTCAGTGGTGGGATTCAGCCAGTTCGCACCACTTCGGGAGAACCGGTTGTTAACTTTCTGAGCAGTTCGGCAAACTGGTTGTTGGAAGAAATCATTAGGGCAAAGAACCGGTTGTTAAATTATTTGAATCCCACCACTGAACGAATTCCTCCTTTCACCCTCTTCTAACCATCTTTCTAGCATATACCCAAGTTGCAAGGAATCACCTGATTGTTACACCACCATAACAATCAAAATCAACCTCATGTCAATTTTATTTACTTTATAAAGTAAAGCAAACCATGCATGGTTTTCTTCCTGGAATTTGCAACTTTTTATTCAAATTTCTGTTTTTCCATCTCTTATTTCAATGGGATTTAGCTCGTTAGCTAAATTTGTAGTCTTAGCAACTTTCTTTCACTTCAACCAGGGGTGGGCTCTAAATTTTTTTACTACTGGTTCTGTGGGCGTCGCTTATTTTGTGGGTGTGGCTTGGAGGTCATGTGACTAGGTGGGCGTGGCTACCTGGTCAGAGTCATTTCTGGAGGGTCCTCACACTTACGACCAGTCCTCGCACTTACGACCTGACTCATTTGTTTGCTTTTAACACTGATCAGCTGTAGGACGGCCCTTTGAAGCCCCATGGAAAGAGTTTAAAGTTTTTTTCCCTCTAGTCATCAGCTGGGACTCAGGAGGCAGCAATAGATTAGGTGTGGGACCAAATAAAAGGTAAGAATAATGTGGGTGGGGGTGGGTGGGAGGGCGGGGGGGGGAATCGGTTCGGTGACGTCATATTGTCACTGCTACCGGCTCGGCCGAACCAGACCGGGAGGAACCCACCACTGACTTCAACCCTAATCTCGGTTTTATTGGGAAACATTTCCCTGCCATTTCTCCCTAGAACATAATCCAGACTGGAAGAAGTGGATGTCCCTTCATTTGTCTCACTATGGATTGAATCCCATCCTTACTTAGAAATTTGTGGGAGAAAACATGTGCAGTAAAGGAAAAACCTAGAAGTTAGTATCTCCATTCCTCTATGATTTCAGGGAGATTCCATTCCATACTACTGCTTATATTCAAAATTGATTTCAGACCCGTTCCTTCTGCCAAGATCTTGGGTGGGATAGCTACCAGTAATTTGCAGCAGGGAACTTTATATCTCAGAGACATTGACACCTTTATTTATGGTTGCAAGAAAGGAGAGATTTGTGGCCAATTTAGCATGATCTACACTAAAATGGCTCTCTGTAGGATATGTTGAATTACCGCTCCTACGATTCCCAGCCAAGCAGACTAAATGCATCTGATGGCTAAAAGATGAGCAAAGAAAAAGAAGGCCATGTAACACAAGAAATCACATTTAATATTAAAACACATGTAAAACCAAGCTGAAGTACAGGTACCCCTCGACTTACAACCACAACTGAGACCAAAATTTATGTTCTTAAGTGAATTTTGCCCCATTTTACCACTTTTTTTGCCACAGTTGTTAAGTGAACCACTGCAGTTGTGAAGTTAATAACAACTGGCTTCCCCATTGACTTTGCTTGTCGGAAGGTTGCAAAAGGTGATCTCATCACCCCTGGACACTGCAACGGCCATAAGTATGAGTCAGTTGCCAAGCATCTGAATTTTGATCATGTGACCATGGGGATGCTGCAACGGTCATAGGTGTGGAAAATGGTCATAAGTCACTTTTTTTCACTGCTGTTGTAACTTTGAATGGTCACAAAGTAAACTGTTGTAAGCCGAGGACTACCTGTATTCGGTGATAATGCACCACCCGTTCATTGAATTCTACTGATTTCTAACACAATAATCATCAATGTTCAGTGAATCACAGGGGCATTAAACGTACAGTATCAAGGCACCCTTAGAATCACTGCCTGCTTTTCAAAAATCTTAGCTTTTATGGCTACAAACTGGCCAGACGTACTGATTTAGTCACCTAGATGAGCTCCATAGGAGCTCTTGAAGCTCTTCTCTTCTCAGTCGGCACACAAAGAGCCCTTCCCAGAGAAAAGAGAAAGGCCTTTCTCTTGCAAGTACCGCTATTCTCCACAAAGGCAGGGAACGCCCTCCATTTCCTATCGCTGCCAAACCACAATGCAAGGGAGAATTCAAGAGACGGAAATGTGTGCTGTCGAGAGGCCTCCTTGCCAGAAGCGCCTCCCCAGGAGAGCACATTAGCGGTTGCTCAAAGTAACCCAATGTGAGGAATGCACATTGCATGTTGCACTGGTGTATATTCAGAAGGGACGTCCCAAGGGAGAAAGGTCTTTACTTAAAGCCCAGCCTTCGTCAGGCTGAGATTAGACAGGAGAACTACGCTGTGGGGCTTCAAGTATGAAAAGGAGTGGGAGTGAAAACTGTTATTTCAAGCTTTTCCTTACATGTTGTTGTTAAAAAGAAGAAAAAAGAAAAAGACATGGCAGTAGTTAATTTGCAGCCTTCTGGATGTTGCCAACTTCCAGTTTGGAGGGTCCTGCTAGCTGCAGCTGCTGAAGTCTGTACTTCAGCAACAACTGGAAAGCTGTAAACTTAGCTTGTTTACTGGCTACCTTATAACATCCAAAAATAAGCTCATCCCCTGAATGGTAGTTTTTGCATTAGCCAAAAGAGATATCAGTATGCAGATATCTGCAGTTGTGGAGAACCCCCAAAGTTTGCAGAAGGCCTAAGATTTATAATGAAGAGAATCCCAAAAAGCACTGTGAGCACTGATTGAATGCCTGCTGAGAGAGAACACTCGAAGAAGGTTTTGCAAGATGTCCTTCCTCAACTTGCTCTCCTCCAGATGTGTCGGATGTGCAGTCCAGTGGTGGGTTGCTACTGGTTCGCCCTGGTTCAGGCGAACTGGTAGCAGCAGTGGCAGGAGGCTCCGCCCACCCGCCTGGACATTATCAAATATGATCTGCACATGCGCAGAAGCTTCCGTGCATGCGTAGAAGTGCTGGGTGCACAATCCGGTAGCAAAGGTAAGTCAAACCCGCCCCTAGTGCAGTCCTCAGGATTTCCCAGTCAATTCTGTATTGAAGACTTTCCTGGCCTAAGTTCCCACTCAGTAAACAGTGGTATATTCAGAGAAGCTGTATACTAGGCTAATTTCAGGTATGCCTATTTGACTGTGTTCTCCTCTCTATTCCACACTGGTTACACACCTGTCTCCCTTTCTGCTTTTGTGGCCTTCCCAAATCTCTGCGTTCAGAAGAGCAGTGACCACCTTTGGGATGCCAAACCACCCAACGTATCGGCCTCCTCCCTCCTGGCATGCTACAGATATGTCCAATTACAATTCCTATAATTCATAACCTCATTTTCTTACACTGTTTTTTTCAGAGCTGTGAACCAGACATTTCAATTCTTCCTCATGTATCTTCAGCGGTTCCCCCATTTTCCATCCCTTCCCTGAAGACTCTACCGCTTTTCCTGGTGATTTTTGCAGAGTAGCCTTTTCCCAACATGGTGCCTGCCAAATCCATTGGGCTACAGCTCCTTTTATAATTTTGTTCTTAGCCTTCCCGCCCTCATTTTTACAGCAATGTACAAGGACTATTGGGAAGGAATTCTGTGTGTGCACCAAGGAGCTACTGATTCTTGGCTGTTTTGGGTCTCAACAGTTTCCAAATGAAATAAGGGTAGCCTCCGAAAGACACAGAAGGATTGATATGGACTTAGGGCTTGCCAGAGCTCTTCTACAGCCTCCCACTGGAAGAATTTTTTTCCCCCTGCCACCTACCCTTATGAGGGGAAGAGAGTGCTTACAATGACCTCCTTTATTTAGAAAGCAGTCAGAGAAAGGTCTGATGAGTCATCCCTGTGGCAGTCAACACATAGCAAAGGCTTTTCCTTTCCCTCCCTGGAAAAAGAGGTCTTCGAATCCCGGCATTCTTTGCTGGAGCTTAAGGACATGCAGAATGCTGGGATTGTCTTCCGCCAGTCAATCCCAACCTCATGCCCTCCAAATTGGTTGAGAATACAGCTTCTCAGCTATCATAGGAAAGAAGCCATGCTGGTTAGGAAATTGGGTGAGTTGCTGGTTCGGGCTGACTGGAAGACCATTGGCTGGAGAAAGCTGTTTTAATAGAACTAGAAGTTTCAGAATCAAGTTCCTGCTCTACTTTGAAATAACGCATTCCTCTTACCTTGAAAAAGCCCTTGCAGCCCTCACAGGTCCGGACGCCATAATGTTGGCATGAAGCGTTGTCCCCACACACAGCACAGCGCCCTTCATTGGATCCAGGGCTGCGTGTCTTTGTTGGAGAGAGGGAATTGTCCATCAGGCCAGAACTATCTACGCCTGGGGAGGCCTGGCTGAGTGGCAAAGGAGAAAAATGGACCGAAGAGGAGGTTTGCGGGAGTGAAAAGACTTCTCCATCCACCAAGTGCTGGTGGGCCGTCGGGTGCATCTTCAGGGGACTCTGGGGTGGGATTCCAGGGCTGTGAGCCGAAAGGCCAAAGGAAAAATAAGATGGTTGAGTAGAACTACTTTTTGGAGGCTCTGCTGCTGCCACCCAAGGCCTCATGCCCTCATAGGTATGAGTGGGGGAATAGCTTCCAAAGGAGTTCTCCCAAGTTGGACCTTGGGAAGTCTGGAAACTTGGCGTGGAAGGAGAAGGGACTGAGCATGGACTGCCGTAATAGTCTGAGCCGCTCGAGGACATGGTCTCATCCAACTGGCTGCTGAAAGGACCAGGATAACAACCATACACTTGGAAATCTTCCAGCTTGAAGGATGTGGTATTGGGGTTCGCAGCTGGAATCTGATAAAGGAAAGCGTCAAATTCGCCTGTATAATTGTCCATGAAGGTGCTGAAGCTGGGCAGAGTAGTAGTGGCAGCAGAGATCTCGGTATTGACCAGGTCCATGGTGGGTTTGCCAAACTCAGGGGTCAAGAGGTCTGCTGGGTAGCGCTCGCAGGACCCTCCGTTCTGAAGCGAGGTCCCATATTGCGTTTGGATACAGGGCATCTCTAAGGGAAGACAAGGGTAGGGAGAAGGAGAAAAATCTACTGTTAGATATTGGAGAGATATAAAAGGTCCATCTGTGCTCTAATTTAGAAACTCTCATGAATTGATTTGGCAGAAAAGGGATCTTAAAGGTGCCATAAAAAGGGAGGATCTTGTAAGCTTTCCCTGATCTACTGACTACCAGATGTGCTAAAATGATATTCTAGGGGCTCTTGTCCCAGAAATGTAGTTGGCCAGAGAAGGCTGGTCTCCATTAGGTACCTTTACAAATATGGCGGACTTTTATTAACATCGGGACAAATTGTTACTTTAGATTTAATACAAACCAAGTCCTTGGCCTTGAACCTCCAGGGGTGGGATTCAACCGGTTCGGACTGGTTTGGGTGAACCCTGGCGCTATGCCGTCCTATTTAGCTGCATTTTTAAGCCGTTCGCATGTGTGCAAGCAGGCGCACGAGCGAAGCACATGCGTAGAAGGCCGCGCAAATGCACGGAAGGTGCACATGCACATTTTTGGTGCTGGGGCAAACCATATGCCGCCCACCTCTGTGAACCTCCCTCTTGATCGTAGTTCTAAACTTTTATTTACTGAAGCAGGGAAGCACAAATGGGGAAGGAAAGAGTTTGGGGCCCCTTGTTAAAAGGAAGACCAATATTTCTGATGCGCTATTTCTTCATGGGGCTATTAGAGAAAGATACAAGATGTCCTCCTTCCTTTCTATCCCTGATATTCCTCTCTGCTGAAAAGAGAACAGCTATTAAATAGTCACAATGTTGAAAGTTGGGAGTACATTGCATTTCTTGACTCTTGCGAGTGAGTGGTGGTAGTTTTCTTCTCCTCACATAGTTAACAGGTTTGGTTCTAAGTTTATTTCTACATCTTTTGCTTTGTTTTTCCTTCCTTGATGAAATTTGGGGTACTGTTCAATTTTTAAAATTTTCTGGACATGCAAAGTGACAGTCATACATGTAAGAGACTACTTCCTAGGCGATACAAGGTACGCCATGAAAAGCCTCACCACGTACTCGGCAGAAAAGATTCCTATGTGTTTGTCTGAAATTAAAAATAGTTCTGCCAACACAAGAGACAAGGGTAAAGGTAAACCTTTGTGCATCCAGAAAAGCCATGCTGTTAAAACAATAATGAGGCATTATGATGCAAACCCAGCTGTAAATTTGCAGAAGCTCAAGATAGCTATCCCATCTCCTTGGTTAATGTCATTTCAGAGAATAAAGAGGGCCAAAGATTGCACACGATCAAGTGTTTTAATGAGGGGAAAAAGGAAAACGAACAAAGCAAACGAATAAAAAATGCAAAATGAACACAGAAGGGCCAGGAGGAGCCCCTGAATTTTATACTGGTTCTCTCTCAATGTGGGAGATAAGAACTAAAGCATTAAGCCAATACAGGTAGTCCTTGTTTTACAACTGTTCATTTAGTGACCGTTCAAAGTTACAATGGCACTGAAAAAAGGGACTTATGGCTATTTTTCACACTTATGACCGTTGCAGCATCATCATGGACCTGTGATCAAAATTCAGATGCTTGGGATGTGATTCATGACTGTTGCAGTGTCATGTGATCTTTTGTCACCTTTTGACAAACAAAATCAACGGGGAAGCCAGATTCCCTTAACAACCCGGTTACTAACTTAACTGCAGTGATTCACTTAACAACTGTGGCAAGAAAGGTCATAAAATGAGTGAGCAAAACTCACTTAACAAATGTCTCACTTAACAACACACATTTTGGGCTCAATTGTGGTCGTAAGTCGAGGACTACCTGTTGTAGCCTGAAAGAAATAGGCAAACATTCTATGAATGTGTTCCAGGTTAAAAAAAAACCCAAAACCTAGCATATTTCAAGAATTTCTTTATGAAAGTTAAAGGACTGAGGTAACCATCTGTTTACCTAAACAACTTCAAACTTTAAATGGCAAGGCTGCCAAGATATTAACACCTGATCAAAGTCCTTAATTGTTCTTGTTTTCCTGCAGTGCCTGGGATTCCCATAGCTTGTTAAAGATTGATTTTGAAATTTCTACTGCGGCTATTTATTCCATCTTAATTTTACAAACTTGGGACCATCAACATCCCAAACAATTTGACCTATAAAAACAAGGTAGAATTTAGTTTGGACTCTGTTACAGATCAGGCCTTTCCCTAATGGTTTTGAACACTTGAACTTCAGGTTGATGAACCAAGGAGCAAAGAAAATGTATCCTGTCTCCAAATTAAGTTTTCTCTTATCTTCCCAATCTCAATCTCAATATCCTGTACAAAATGCCCAATCTTAGAAACAACAATTCTGTTCTCGCCTGCATCACAATTAGTGCAGTTATCAACAACAACAAAAAAGGAAATGCTATATGTAGTTTCTTGCCAGCACTAGAGGAAAACTACTGCAAAAAAAGAGATTTTGATCATGTTGTTATCCTACTTGATCATCCCACTTCTATCTCATTGTAGTCCTTTCTTTGAAGGAGATCCATCTAAATGTCAGCAGCCTCTCACAAGGAACATGGAAACTGAAACTGCTGGGAAAACAGAATCTCAGAGCTTTATAGTGTCTTTTGAGAATGGCACTTTCCAAAAAAGGAATTATAACTGGAAGCATTAGTCGAGATGGAAGTCAAGTCTGTAGCAGCAACTCTTGTGGCAAAATGAATATTGGTCAGGTTCTGTTACCAAAAGCTGCTTTAACAGAGGAAAGAATTACAGGAGGTTGAGACATAGAGAATTCCAAGTGATTTTAACATTGCACTTTTGAAATAAGGCTATAACCCGTTTATCGGAGGGACAGGAGCTCCTTTACTTGGAAATAATCCTCATTCTGCTAATTAAAATTGATCAAAAATGACAGACCAACCTGGGATTTGGATGGGTAAGAACTGCATCACCCAAGAAGTGGCTATCTGTAGTTTTTGACTTATGACCACAATTGGGACTGGAATTTTGGCCACTAAACAATGCAGTCATTAAGCAAATCATCATGTGACTGGACCTGATTTTACAACCATTTTTACTGTAGCCGTTAAGCAAATCCGACTTCCCCAATTGATTTTGTTTGACAGAAGTCGGCTTGGAAGATTGTAAATGATAATTACCTGATCACAAGAAGCTTCAGCCATCATAAATGCAAGCTAATTTCCAAGCACCCAAATTGTGATCAATTGTGATACCCAGGGGGTGGTATAGGAACATTGAGGATAGGAACATATGTCACTTTTTCCAAGCCCATTGTAACTTTGAGCCCTTGTTAAACCAACTGTCATAAATCAAGGACTACCTGTGTTGAACTTCAATTGAAAAACCAAAAAAAACAAACTGAAGCTTGCAGCTTCTTCTCAATTTGTTAAGAGGATCAGATGGGGTTGGCAAAAGCATGCGCCAAAAAGAGATTTTGAAAAATTATTGTTGATACCCTTTTTAAACGAACGTGATTCCTATTAAGGTTTTTCCCAGTTAATTTGTCCCCAAATTTTAGCAAGAGTTCAACATGTTATGTGAATCAATATCCTACTCTATCAGGGGTGGGATTCTACCGGTTCGGACCGGTTCGGGCGAACTAGTAGCTCCAACAATCAGCTGGGAGTGAACTGGTTTGCTCCAACAATCAGGTGCGCCTGCCCTCCCACCCGCCTCTGGGCTTTACAGCTATATCTTACAGCTATATTCTATATCTTCTCAGCTGATTCGCACGGCAGAGCGGATTGCCGTGCCTTAGCTGTGCTACTCCCAGCAGTAACGCGGAAGGTAAATTTTTGTAAAACTGTGCACGCACGCGAAGCACGCAATCACCGAAACGGTTGATCCCACCACTGCCTAAACTCCCAAAGAGAAAGTAGCAGAGGGATTACAATTCCCAACAGCTAGGTGATTTGAGTCCCTTGCTGAGTTTTCATCCGAGACAAGATTTGCATTTACAGTCTACATTGGCCAATTCTACTCAACTTCCCTCCTTAAAAGAAAATGATCTTGTCCATGCGTTTTTTGGAACCTCATAACTCCTCTGCACACCCACTGACGCTATCTGATCTTGTTATTCTGTATTCTTAAAATAGAACTTGGATATCCAATTGTTAAGGCTTGTTATGATTTGTTCCAATGTAGCAACAGGTGATACCCAGGGCTCCTCGTAACACAGGATTTATTAGCCTACTCTCCCCAGAGGAAGTTCTGACGTCTGCAAATGGAGAGCAGCATCTCCCTAGCTAATGCAGGACTAGTCTAGGGAGCTCCATTACAGCGGTTGTAATCCTAAACTTAGGTATTGCTGCTAGCACCGCTGAGCACAAGGGCTGATTGGACAGCAGATATTTAGCAAATAGGAAGGATCAACAGTGGGCCTTTTAAAACAAAGCTCAGTGCAATACTTCTCATGTTATTAGTCCTTAGTGTGCAAGCTTTTTAAAAGTCAAGTCTTTTTTTTTTTTTTTTTTAAAGCAGCAATCATGAAGTCCTTTATTCCAGTCTGGACATTTAGTTCTTTGTGATACTGTTCTAATTGGAACCCTCTCCTCCCCCATTGCCTTTTTAAAGCCTCCATGCTAAATCTAACCACCGTATACAACAATGACACAGTGATATTTAGTCTACCAGCTCCTGTGGAGAGGGAAAAAAGGACAGCACTTGTAAATCAGAATTAAAAGAAAATGGCTTGACTGATAATACTTACTTTCTCCCTGGGCCTGAAGGCATAAATATCAAAATAAAAGTAAGAGCAGAGACAAAAGGGCTGAAACGCAGCCTTGGCCCACCCTTGGACTGAGAAATCAATAGTGGAAATATACATTATGCTCTGAAAATACACAATGAAATTAAACTAACTGAAGTGGAATCTGAGAAAGTTCACGGCTGTTCCATTGGCGTCTCCATATGGAAGGTCTCATTTCCCCACACTCTGCTGTTGTCCTAAAAATGCGCATCACCACCGTCTTATTAAATCCGAATGCCATCCCAACTCTCCACAGCACTCTGCGGCTCACAACAATCAAACCAAGCAATTAAAATAAGAATTCTTCCTCTAAGAATATGGCACTATAAAAAATGAAATTCTTTTCCCAACGGACTAGAGAGGATTAGCTTTTAATCGTCTACCCTAAGACCTGCTGGACATGCAAACGTTTGCAAGAAAGGATATTTCTCTGAACACTGCCTGATTTCTGTACTGATTTGACATTTGAAGCAAAAAGAAGGGCAGGCAACACACTTCTTGTGAACAGTCCTATAATAGAAGGCTGAATCCACCCAATAATTACCTGGGTAGATAATAGCTTGACTACTAGATATTTCTGCCCTCTTCTTGAAAACAGGTGAATGACCTATTCTCTTCCGGGACTGGTAGTTTTTCCCACTGTGGCCATAATGTATTTTTAAATGGGATTCACCAGAAAAGGCATTTCAAGATGCTTCAATTTCTCTCTTCCTCAGTGCCTACCTAGCTGCCTAAAAACACTTCCACTCATGCATCTACAGCTGGTGCTCCAACCCTTTTCCACCAAGAGCCTCACCAGGGAATCATGAGAGAGGAACTGGAATTAACCTCCTTTGTAGCAAAGAACATTGTTGGAAGCACAAGTGTCTTCCTCCTGCAGGCACTGTTGCCATCGCTTTCTCCTCTGTGTATTTCTCTCACAGTCCTCTACTATCTTCCAGTGGAAACGGCATGGCGTTGCTATAACGACACACTCACCTCTTTACCCTGCGAGCCGCCCCTTTGGGATCCTTGTTGTTTTAGCGCACAAATGGCTCCTGTAATCACTGTAAAACAGATGCAGCAACAGATGTGCTACCATCCCATCTGATAGGCAGAGCAGCATTGTTTGCAGAACTTTGCTGCCCTGCACCCCCCCCCCCACCATCATCTGACAGCTTCCGTTTACCTTCAAAGGCTGAGACAAAAACAAAGGCACTCAAGGTAGTAAGACTGAAGGCTAGCTGGATCCTCACTGCAATCAGCAGGATGGAAGGCTTTGCGACCAGTGACCAAGCACTGCTTTGCCTTTGGATAGCCCTGGAATAGAAAGGCTGAAATCTCAACCTAATATATCAATTCCTCCCAACACTTAAGAGCCAACAGCTAAGTTCTCTAGAACAATGGCAGCTATAAACCAATCAGGGGAGAGATGATTGCTTTTGGAATGGGAAATCTGTGTCTTCAAGAGATGGCTGAACTACAATTCCCATCAGCCCAAGACAGCCTGGCCAATAGCAAGGGATCCCGAGAGATAGCTGAACGGGAAGGTTAGCAATTCATCCATTGCTGCTTTAGGGGAACAGCACAGGAGCCCATCATTATAGTGTTCCACGCAGCCCTACAATTTCCTCCCAATTTGTTGGGACTGCATTTAGACTTTAGAGACTGCTCAAGAGCACCCTCTGCTGTAGAGCTGCAGAACAGCAGGGACGGATCAACTTCCCAGCAACTTGATTCAGTGCTAATGTAAAAAAAAAACCACAGAAAGATTCCGAACTCTGTAAGCAAAAACTGGCACCATTCAGCATAAATGACCACGCTGTTTCCAAGAAGAAATACTCAACAGCTTAAGGAAACTTGCAACAGGAACAGACTGTTATTGTCAGTTCGACAATGGGTGGAATTATCTAAAAGAAGCTTTTCTTGTTGAAACCAATTTCTTCCAGGCTCAAATGTTCCAAGACTGAATCCACTGCTTGTGTCGAGCTGCATTTGAACAAGGGCAAATGGATTCTGGTATTAGATATCCAACTCTTCCCTGGTCTATGCAGCCCCCTTTCCTGCTTTGCATGTTTCCTATGCTTTTTAAGAGTTGCACATCAAGATATTCAACTGATGTAGCACTCCATACTGTATAAATGGCAGCAGTTGAGAAAAACTGCGCCTGTCAAGATGTCTGATCTGCAGAAAAGATAATCAACACTACTCAAAGCTATCAATGGAAGAGGTAAGTATGGGCTTCATTCCAAGAGACCAACCCCAATGCTGTTTTTGTGAAATAACCATTTCACATTCTGTGGAAAATGCCAGCTGGCATTTTCCCACTTTCTGTGATCAAGCCATGGAAAATAAAATAATTCACATTTCCCCGCTTTCTGCCTTGACACTTTTCCTTAGTAGAAGGTGTCTTAACGATGACATAATGAAGGCAATTGGTTCTCTTCCTACCTAAATTTCTGTCCTAGGCAGATTCGCTGGAGAGGAAAACCCTTAAAACAGAGCCGCCCTTATTGCTGGATAAATATGCACAGGATTGTGATATGTAAAACAAATCAAGTTTTTGGGAATGCTGTGATTACCCCACACTGCTCTGTGTAGTTGCTGAGATTATTCTAGGATTCAACCCATTTTATACTTTGAAGCTTCCTGGTCTCAGTCAAGGTTTTCAAACCCCTTACAGTCTAACTTAATGATTCTGGGGTGACCAAGATCACTAAAGGAGGTGCTCACAATAGACAAAGACAAGACTGTGGCAAGTGGACTTCTTCAGCCTTTGAAGTCTGGCGCACAGACTTAGAAACAGGGAGAGCCCGCCATAGCAAAGGCTGCCAGGTGCTCAAACTTGATGCAGCACCTGTCGCTCTGAACATGCCAGGAACTGCAAGCCCTCCACCCCCTTGCAAAGCCACATGAAAGCACCAGGCTAGGAGCTTTGCTGATTTATGTCCTTCAACACCTGTGATGGTACCAAGCTGCTCAGTAGATCGGCTCACAAACATGGAAATGCACACTCACAAAAAAAAGAGCATCTCTTTGGAAAGGGAAGGTGGTGGGGGGAGAGAGAACATTAGAAAACATTTTTTCAAAGGTGTCCACTTTTTGAAAATATGGAGGGGAATTTCTGCATCTAGGAAAGAAAAATGTAAACGTGCATATGTGCACAGACACACAATGCATATTACCTTCAGATTAACAAAAAAATATGCAAGTATAAGAGGACTAGCTGCAGGCAGAGTGAGAATACGAATCTGGCACAAACAGCTTTTCCCATAGTGATCTTCCAAACAGAGAAGAGAGATTTAAAGTTCTTTTCTCAATTTGATATGGGCAGAATTGATATATTCAGCCTGATGAAGAATAAAATATCTTCAGATATCTAAGACATTAAGAGTCTGACCTGTTTGTCTCCAAAACATGGTATAATCACCAGGCCTTATGACGAGGCCTCTCACCTGGACGCAAGCACTAGCTGTACAATATTACTTTCCTTATCAAGCATCAGATCGCTTCACTTCTTAATATCACAATTTTTCCTCTAAAAGAGACTTCACTTTTGCCCAAGTGAGGAGCCCATCCTACGCTGACATCACAATCAAGGTCACAGGACATAAAAATGGCAAAATGCATCCAGTCACTGGTACACATCTGCCAGGGCTCCCACAAGCTCCGGTTACAGCAATTTTGTCCTTTAGAATGCAAATGTAGACTTTGAAAACTGCTTTTGGAAACAAGTGCACCATTATAGTTGCCATCAGCCAAGCCCCCAGCCGCCAGATCCTCTTGCAATTCAAGCTTAGAAGTACAAATACCTCTTTTTTTTAAGGAGAAAAAGCCTGCCCTTGTAGGATTTTAGTCCAGTGGTTCAGGGATTTTGCATTCTGTATACCTTAACCGATGCTTTCAAGTTGTCCCATACTACATAGGAAGAGCCAGGCAGATGACATATGGCAGTTCTAGTAACTTTCTAAGATCTGCAAATCAAAACAGGCCGATTTGGAAAAACCCTGTTGCAGTTCCTACAGTTAAAAGTACGAACAAGTAACAGAAGGCACCGCCGGTCTTTTAAGATTCACTCTTCAGGGATAAACTCTACTCTGCTCTTGCAAATGGGACTTGCACATCCCTACTTCTTCACTTAGCAAGCGTTTGCTGCTTTGTTAGGTAGAACGACCCTCCCTCGCTATTTTACGCTCCTTTTTCATTTTGCAGCGCATCAGAGGATAAAGCGCAACCTCCCCTCTAATTTCTCCTCCTCGCCCGCAATTCTCGCGCCTCCCTAACTTTTCAACAAGCGAGAAGATCCCTTCCGATTCCCCCCGCAACTTCTTTCCCTTCCTCTCCCCGACCCGATTTTTTATTTTTATTTTTTTTTAAAAAAAAAGCATCCCTCGTCCTGCAAACCAGTCCACGACAAAGAAAAAGTCAACGAAGCGCGCCTGCACTTTTACAAAAAAAAAAGCAGACGGGAAAAGGGTGGGTGGGAGACGGGGGGGGTGGAATTTAACAAGAAATCCACACATACCCAACGGAGCTGAAAGAATCTAGCCGCGGTCCCTTCCACTTTTGCACATGAAGCTTGTCGGGGGAATAATGCTTTAAGCAAACCCAAAGCGCATCGGGGAAAGCGCCGATTCTCGCTGCCGTTCTCCGCCGCCGCGCAGATCAAAGCTGAAGATCAGAGCGAGCGAGCCCGCGCCGGAGCGAGCTGCCTACCGTCTAGACGCCGACTAAGCCACTGGGGCTCACCAGCCCGTGGCCAGGAGATTCTCTTAAGCTCTCTGTGACGCAAGGCGAAGGGGTGGACAGAAAAAGGGAGGGGGGAGATCCTCTGACGCACGAGCTCGGCTGCAGCCTTCGCCATACAAGGCAAAAAGGGGCGGAATGTTCCGGCGCCCTCGGAGCGAGGGGCGGGATCGGAATGTCTGCGCGGGTGACGCACACGGGGTTCCATTGACGCACGCCTTAGAATTGTTTGATCTAAAAATAGAACCAGCTAACCCCCGCCCCCCTCCTCACTCCCGGCTAAAAATAGAGCCTTTTCCTAAGCAAGGATTGGAAGGGGGGGGGGGAAAAAAGAGGGGGTGTTGGTTAAAAGAGAGGAGGAAAAGAAAAGAGTGTCATAGGAAGAACCAAAAAAGAAAGGAAGGGGGTGGGGTCGGGTGAGGGTGGGGTAGCGACGGAGCAGAAAGGTTCGACGGACGGAAATGTGAAGCGAAGGACCGTAAGGGAAGGAAGGCTCGAGGTGCGGTTCCAGAGCCCGCTTTCTCAACTTTCGTGCAATGGCTTTATGGCCTCGACCCGCCTGTCCCTGCAACCCCCTGCCACGCCTTGCTCGTTTCCCTCGATGGCGGCGCCGCCCCCCTCGGTTCCAATCTACGGCGACCCTTGCGAATCTCAAGGGAGAGAGTGCCCAACGTTGGCTCGCTTCTGTACTTCTTTGAGCCTTGTCCCAAAGGTGCTTTTTTTTTTTCTTTTTCCAGGAGGCAACTGGACTTTCTTCAGGAAGCTGAAGAAGCTTCTTTGGATGAGAAGCGAAACGTCTTCAAAAGAAAAAAAAAAAACAAGAAACGCCAGTTGCCTCCTGGAAAAAGGCACCTTTGGGACAACCATGATCTGGGTCAGGGTCCATGCGCTGGCTGAGGAATTCTGGGAGTTGAAGTCCACCAGTCGTGGACTGGTGGAAGTCCACTAAAGTGGCCAAGGTTGGAGACCCCTGATCTGGATGACTGAGAATCTCTACAGACTTCTTGAGCCTTGCCTTTCCATTTCCCCCGTCCACTCCTTTAAAAGTAAATCTCTTCTCTTCACTCTTCTGCTGGTGATGAAGGCGACGACAGCCAGGTTACCCTATGTAAGATGTGGGGATTTTGAGCAACCGGTGCTCCAGTGCTAAAGAAGAAAGCTAAAAGTCGAAAAGGGGGAAAAGTGCCGAGCGCAACCACCTCGCACTGCAAACCCTTAAGAAGAGCTCCGGAGGGATATTCCACATTCTTTCCCTTGACTGAACTGGGGTAGCCTTTCCTGGCCATTGTCTCTGCCTCATTGCCAGAATGCGATCTGAACATTTATTGACCGCTTTCAGAATGATGCATGGAGGAAGGAATACCTTCTCGTTTGTCATCCTCCAAAAAATGTAAGCAGTACAGTAAAATGCGTTTGCTGCTAAGGGGACAGAAGATACTTTTAGTTCTGTTGCTAGAAAATACAGTATTCCTCTGTAAACTACCGAGCCAAAGATAGTTGTGGAAAGGAAACCAATTTGTGTTTTCCTCGGGATCCTCTCCTGAACTTTAAGGGAAAAAAAGGCATGGGAAAAGAGAGTACTGTAAATATTGTTAGGGATGGAGGAACATACTACAAATAAGGCAGAGAGACCACACAGTGTTACAACCAGCCTTTTCTAAAACCACCTTATAGTACCAGAACCCTCCTGTGTTTTTCTTTTGTTTCTCTCCCCTGTTCCTTCCCCCTGGGCTGCTGCACTGCTGCCAGAGATCTGTCAAAGAAGAAACAAAATAAAACAATTGCAAAATGTCTTTGGGTGATAGAACAAGGAGCTCTCTGTCTCGAAGCACCTTTTGTAGTAAGAAAAACAGACTGAAGTGGAAGTGAGAAAATACAGGCAGGAGGTTGTTAATGCAAGTATCCTGACATCTTGACACTGTGTAATAATGTCTGAAGCAGGACTACAGCACTAGAAAAGTCTATGATGATTCTTTTGATTTTGCTGTCACTGAAAACTGGTAATTTGAAAGAAAAGGATATTTATTTATTTATTTATTTATTTATTTATTTATTTATTCATTCATTCATTCATTCATTCATTCATTCATTCATTCATTCATTCAACTTGTATGCCGCCTTTCTCCGAAGACTCAAGGCGGCTTACAATGCATTTAAAAACCATATATAAAAACATTAAAAATTAAAACATTAAAAACAATTAAAACCCATTCATGGCTGGATCTCGCCAGATCGCAACAGCGAGATCAACGGCCCCAGGCCTGCCAGAAAAGCCAGGTCTTCACCGCTTTTCGGAAGGCCAATAGGGTGGGGATAGTCCGGATCTCAGGAGGTAACTGGTTCCAGAGAGCTGGGGCAGCCACAGAGAAGGCCCTCCCCCGCGGGCCCTCCAGCCAGCATTGTTTAGCTGACAGGACCTGGAGGAGACCAACTCTGTGGGATCTTACCGGTCGCTGGGAGCTATGCGGTAGAAGGCGGTCTCGAAGATAGCCTGGCCCTGAGTCATGTAGGGCTTTAAAGGTAATAATCAACACCTTGAATTGTGACCCGAGACCAATAGGGATCCAGTGCAGCTTGTGGAGAATTGGTGTAATGTGGGTGTACCTAGGTGCACCCATGACAGCTTGCGCGGTTGCGTTCTGGACCAACTGTAGTCTCCGAACACTTTTCAAGGGTAGCCCCATGTAGAGCGCGTTGCACAAATCTAACGGTGAGGTGACAAGGGCATGAGTGACTGTGAGGAGAGCCTCCTGATCCAAGTAGGGTTGCAATTGGTGCACCAGGCGAACCTGTGCAAAGGTCCCCCTAGCCACAGCTGACAGATGTTGCTCTAATCTTAGCTGTGAGTCTAGGAGGACACCCAAATTGCAAGCCCGTTCTGAGGGGGACAGTTTCTCCCCCCCCCCAAACCAAGGATGGACAATCAACATAGTCTTTAGGAGGCAATACCCACAGCCACTCGGTCTTGTCTGGGTTAAGTCTGAGTCTGTTGACTCCCATCCAGACCCTCACGGCCTCCAGGCACCGGCACATCACATCCACCGCCTCACTGAATTGACACGGGGTAGAGATATACAGCTGGGTATCATCAGCGTATTGCTGATACCTCACCCTGTATCGTCAGATAATCTCACCCAGGGGCTTCATGTAGATGTTAAATAGGAGGGGAGAGAGGACCAAGCCCTGAGGCTTGTTTGCAATTTCAATGTTTTACTTAGGTTATTCCTTTTTAATTCTGCAGCAATAAGCATATAATATAGACCTTTTAAAAAAGCTCTCTGTTCTGGAAATAAAATAGTGCTAATAGCATCTTCTCTTAAAGACACAGGTAAAAATGCCTAAAAAACAAAAATAAACAGTTGAGGTCCATTAAAAAAACCCTGCAATCTTGGAATCAGTTTTAGCCGGCCATGCATTGTATGTTTTAAATGCAATTTAATAATATTGGGACATTTTCTGATTATTGCCTTCATAAACTGACATTAAGGCAGTCCCTAGACCTGAGTTAATAAATTAAGGTATTTGATAGAGGAAGCTGGTTGAAGCCAAGCTGATCTGCATCTGAATGGTCTGTGCAGTGGGGAAATTGTAGAGAACTCACCTGTCGCAGGCTACTAAAGGTAGTTTAATACAAATTTAAATCTGTTTTGGCCAAGCTGCAGATTGAATATTTAAAAACTTACGTTTTACAGTATAGAATAATTTTGGAGAAGTGCATGTATATCTTTAGATCAATGTTTTTCAGCCTCAACAACTTTAAGATGTATGGATTTCAACTCCCACAATTCCCCAGTCAGCATACTTTAGATAGAGTTGTAATCTAATTAAATACATTTAGGTGGTTTAGCTTAATGGAATAATTCACATAAAACTTGTTTTTATCATGCAAATACATTTTGGATGCTTCTCTCTTGCAGGAAGCATTTTTTTGAAAATGATATTTGCTACTGCAAATTTTTATCTGTTTTTTGTAAAGCTCCACAGATGGATACAGCTAGTTGCATCATATTAAATATGTCACTGTGTAGAGTTAAAAATCAGTTCCAAGATGGATTATTGGAAAACATGGTAGATGTTAAAATGATGGCAGGACCAGCCAAGTTATATAACATATTTCTTTTATTACTTGCTCTCCCCTTCTCAGGGTAAAACCCGGTGGAACCCCTCAGTCAAGGAGAAGAAATCAGAGACAGGAGTGACTAGGGAATAAAACATTGAAGCCAGTTTCTGTATGTGCTTTTCTGCACCTGTTGCAGGCTTAATAGGATTCTCCCTAGGCCTCAATCATAAATATATTTTAAGTTGCATTTCACTGCCCCTCTCAAGTCTTCTCAAGAGATTTTCCCTTTATGTATCTTGAGTATTTTCCTCACTCTATAGTTTCTTTTCAGTCCCCTGAGGTAATTTTCCAAATAGTTTAAGATTTCTCCCAGATTCAGGCTTTGAAACATTTTAAAAGACTTCCATCCACCATTGGGTCTTCTGTTCTCAAGACAGCAAACAGAAAAGACATCACCCATTAAATGTGTGAAAAATCAAAAGCTAACTGAAAATCTAAGGTATCATAAAGTGAACACCACAGATACAGTATATCTTCAAAAGGCAAAGATCCTACAAGAAGAAACTGGTTTGTAAATGGAGATCATTGCACCTTTCAGCCCAGCACATGGAACCGGACAGGAGTGAAAAACACTGCAAGATCATTCCCTATTATGGCAGAACTCATTCGCCTTCCCCTGCGGCAGATCCCACCTCCCACCCTCCACAACATCATGCTCCCTCCTCACCCATCTTTTAATTCTGCATTATATTACTGCATTATTTTATTTTATTTTTATTGTTTTGACTATTTTACTATGGTTATTACATTTTTTATATTTTATGTTCTACTATGGTAAGCTGCCAAGGGTAGCCTCATGGCAGGATGGGCGCAAAATAAAATAAAATAAAATAAAATAAAATAAAATAAAATAAAATAAAATAAAAATAAAATAAAATAAAAAAAAATAAAATAAAATA